AATATTAGCATGACATTAGATATTTATATGAAGAGAAAGAGTTTTAATTATTTTGTCGTTATTTAAAAATATTGTTCATAGAGACTTGAAACTTTTACGTATCCTGATATTTTTGGTATTATACAAAATTATATTTAAAAAATATATAGATTTATTCAAATATATAAAGTCTATTTATATCATGCACCTATTCACACTGTTATACGACCTTGCCTACAAAGATTTTTTTTTTTTGAATAACAATAATTATAGGTTTAGTGATGTAAAATATAAAATATAAATACGTTATATTATTTTAATAATTAAAAAATCATTGTATTATAAAAAATGCAATGATTTCTATAAATAAAATTAAATGAACCAACCATAATATTAATTCTAAAATAAAATAATTTAATAGCAATATAAAGAAATACCATGAACTAGTAGTTCTATATGGCTGACTGGTCGTTTTCATCTCTTAGAATCGTTTTTCATATGCACTGATCTATCATTGAATTAAAATTTCTCTCATACATTACCTACAGTGACTTACTCAATGACAGGGTATACTCGACACTACCGGTGTACAGCGAAGCAGTTACCTACTCCCCCCTTTTTGAATATTAAAATCTAAAAAAATTTAATTTTCTTAAAAAAAAAAATGAATTTAAATCAAAATGGTATTATTAATAACTGAAACAGGGTAAGAGCATATTTCATCACACTTTTTATTTTCGAAATACTTTGGACTCAGTATTTATAATCAATGGTATTACATAGCTGAATTATTTTTCGGAGTATTTCAAATTTGTTTATACACTATTGTTTTGGTTGATATTTCATATAATATTATACTGTATAAAAAATTATATACTGCATAATACACTATTTTGTTTACATTTTATCGACTTTTTCTCTTTGAAACAAATTTACCTTGAATTATTATTATGGTTTATGTTTTATTGTTATTATTATAAGACTATAAATTATTATTACTTTTATTATTATTATACCTACTATATACAAAATATTAATATTTGTTTATATGGACATTCTCATAAAATGATTTAAACGCGTATTTCCTTATCTTATTCTTCTTATATTCATAGTACCTATTTAAATTTAATGTGTACTCAACTAACTCTATTTCACCGTAACTTTCATGATACTCAATTTATTACTTTAATGTTTGTTTGTAAATATTCTTTATGGAATGAAATTATATCATAACCTCACACATTATTATCATAATCCAAGACACGATTATTATGAATTTACGCTACCGTGTACAATTTATTTTATAGTAAACTTTAAATTGCAACCCCAGTGAGTTTGAAAAAAAAAATTTCGTTTATACATGAAACGTATAAATTAGTTATAATGTACTTATACTTATATAATTGTAATATTATTATAATTGGGATATTATACTCATATAATTACATTAATATCGTTGTCTTTCTACAACAATATAGAAATATTATCGGTTATCTTTAGTTTAAACTAATTTTCAATAAGCAATAATGCGATATAAATAAAGTTAATTTGAAATTACTACATTTTATTGTATTCATTTTAACACCATACCTAGTACAATAAATTATGGTTGAATTAAAAAATATAATTAAATATGGTAATAAGAAATCAAAATAATTTAAAAATTGATAAAAATAAAATAAATTACTAAGTACGTGTTAGTAACAATGTCTCTAAATAAAGTATATATTTATAAATCATCAAATAATAAATATGTATAGCAATATTATGATGATCGACATAAATAATAATAATATAATAGAATGATATTACCTATATTAAATCAATTTCACAAATATAAATGGTTGGCGTATTCACGAGTGAAAAAAATTGTTTCTTAACGAGTTTTCATTGATACATTTTATACACTTTTCATGTCAATAGCGTATTGTACAATTTTGGAGGAGAATATTGCAATATCAGAAAAAAATGCGTATGCACGTAATATGAGCAGTCTTGCGATAAAAAAAAATGTATACCGTTCCGCTAGTGAAAGCTGTTTGATTCATTGCTTAAATGTTTCCAAAACCTTCTTAGTTGGTAGAGTTCGTAAAATGTTAATGCTATATATTTTTATTTAAAGTAATAAGTTATACAGTCGAATTCACATAAAATATAATAACTATAATAAGTGATTATTTTATAAACTAGATTTTTTTTTTTATGACATCAGATGTCATACAAAGTATTTTAGCATAGTCTATATCAATTTATTTTGTTATTATTGTTATTTCAGTTACATTTTAATTTATCAAAGTGGTTTATGGTGCAAAAAAATTAGTGGCTTAAGTATTATTTAAATTTATTACATGTTATTTCGGTGTATACATTTACGTACTTTTTTCCAAAGTAAAATAAAACACAGAACATTACAAATAATTTCTCGACTACGTTAAGTAAACTTGTTGACCTAATTCGAAATTATTCCACTTAAAACAATGTTTGCTGTAAAAGCCGCATCCCAAGCATATTATATTTTCCACTTGCGTCGGATCGTTGATCCTGGAGAAAGAGGGGTTATTGTTTTTTCATTTGGATTTGTCGTCCATGACATGACTGTTCACTTTGGAAGCTGTTATCGTGTGTACTTATTCTGTTTTATTGTGTTTTTGGAACACTATTTGATAAAAACCCCCAACTCCATATTTAGCCGTTTTATACGGCTGGGTGAACACTTTTGTTTGAAACTTTTGATATCATAAAATCATATTTCTTAAGTCAAAATTTAATAAGTCTTCCTAAATTAATAACTAGAAATAGGTCGCTTTATTTTATCAGAAATATATAAATAATTATGATTAGTTTTGTAATCATTGTGTCGACTTAACATCAAGGTAATTATTTATTGTATAGAATAGTACAAATTAAAACTAAAATATTATTTGAACATTATAATAATTTTGTTACATGCATGTGGTGCATGTATATAATTTTTATGAAATTTGTAAGTTAAGGGATTACATATAGATACCATCATAAAAGTTGTGTTTTCAAAAACTGCATACACTCACCTCACATTGTTTGATGTTTTCTAGCTATCATCGGGTCACATTTGTGGTTTTGGCTGGTTATGTATAGTGCGCGTTAAAAGGAAGTGAATATCCCTTCCAACACATAATACACGAACGTCATTCAGTTAATGATCGCCGGTGTTCCTGCCCCTTGTATTCTTCTCTTTTTTTCTTCCTTTTAGTCTGCAGCGGGTGGTGAACGAAGGGTCGTCTAGAGGAGGAACTCGCTTTAGCCAGACAAAACGAACTTGCGCTATACATGCACATCCCATAACTTATACCGTTCTTTTGATTCCTGCGTCCCAGCGTAATGATAAGTTTTCGCTATTATTATCGTTATTTGTATTATGGTTATAGCAACAAGTGCGTTACACTATCAAAATAATTTACCCGTATATTATATTATTATCATATTAGTATGACGCGGTAATGCGAGTGAATAAATTACTTTCTTTTACATCGGTTTAACACGAAAACGCAAAGAGAGGTTCAGGTCTGACAACACGCATTGTTACCATAATATTATTATAGAACACACTTCCGGAAATAGTATAAAGCGTTTACTGCAGTTGAAACATTATGAACACGTGGTTATCATTATTGCACGATGCGTGGTACCGCAAAATCATTATTGTCGCACACGACACGGTACGTTTTCGCCATTGTCGTGAACAAACATTAGGTAAGAGAGACATTAATGTACAAGAGGAGGAGCCGATGTCTTCCGTATTTGGATGAGACGTGTTTGGCTTTCGACTGCGATCTCTCCACCGAAGATAATATTTTTGTTAACGCAATCAACGAGCCCTGTCACGATGGGGAAGACACGGCGAGACGGACTGCAGCAGCATCAATGGGTAGGTGCACCGCCGGGAAATTGTAAATTTTTTATTTGTTTATTATTATTATTATCTGTTTGTTTTGTTTTTCACAGTACGAGTCATATAGGTCGGGTTTAGGGCGGCAGCGGCGGCAAACGGTGTTTAAAAATATTTGTATGGTGCGCGGGTATGGGGCACGTTGGGGGGATAACGGTGGCGGTCGCTTCTGAGCACGAGGAGAGCCCCCCACCCCACCACCACCAACCCGTTACCACCATCCACTCATCCCTATACCGCTACCGCGGGTGGTGAATGCGTTCTTCACTGAGCTTGCGCAACCATCGGACGATTGCGCGTGCGCGAGTGTGTAAGTATGTGTGTGTGTATGCTTGCGAGTTCGCTTGTGTGTGTGTGTGTGTTTGGTGTCGCGGTCACGTCCACACAGGGACTCTACGCACTCACACAAACTTACACGCATAAAAACTCACTCGCACACATACAAACTTACGCGCGCGCGCACACACACGGTCACGTACTTACGCTCGCACACGCTGACACACCCACACATACACGGTGGACTCTGTGCTTGCCGCGCGGAGCGTATAACGCGTACAGTAGTAGTTATGGTATTAGTTCGCGTTCAGCCGAACAGCCGTGCGGTAGTGTGCGCCTCGCCGTCGCCGTCGCCGTCGCCGCCGCCACGGTCGTCCAAGTCGAATCGGAAGTCGACTTCCGTACCAGAGTACGACGACCGTCCGTAGTAATATAATAATTATTGTGCGCGAGTGTAGTCCCAGACGGTATATTACAATATTACTGATGTCACGATAGGTTGATGATCATAGCATCTATACAGTAACCGTAGGTCAACATTTCGTTCACTCGTTGCACACACACCATGCCCGTCCTTTGGACAGTGTTTCTAAAATAAAATACATCTCACCGGACCGAGTGTACTCGACAGTGTGATTTTTGACGTATGTCTTATATATTATAATATGTTGTTGTCGTGCAAAGCGATAAAAGTAATATTATGCGTGTGATCCGTCGTCGATCGTCCTCGTCACAACGTTGAACACCGTCTGTGATAACAGTAAGAACAACAACGATAATAACACACAGTAACAAAGTTTACGGCGATAATAATACGATGCCGGCCGTTCGCCGCCACGGTCGCGGCGTCCACCGCCGTCCGGTCCGGTACCGTCGTCCAGTGGTAGCCATAGACGAGTCCACGGTGGTAGTGTCATCAACAATCGGTGCAGGAAAAGTTATAGTAGCAGTAGCAGGAGGGGCCATAAGAGCAGGATTAGGTACCGTGGATGTGCTCTGCTCTGCGACCGAGTTCGGCCCGATCGTTGTGTGACTTGCGTGTTCACCTGCAGTGACGATTCGACTGATTACACACACATACCCACACACCCACACTAAAATCGTCACTTGTATCGAAGGCCGAGCGTTGATTGCTCGGAATCACAAAGGTTAGTACCTATGATCGTTAAAATATTTTTTTGTGGAGGGGGATGGGCGACGGGATGACTCCGATTATGGGAAGCGGTGGTTCAGCAATAGTATGTATCTATGCCTAATGGTCAACTAAATATATTTGAAGACCTTCGATGTGTTTTCAATAAAAATATAGCTAGGTAGGTAGGGACAAAAGTAGTATTTGGGTACATTTTAGCGGCAAAGTAATGTCGATGATATCGTGATATCATAATAATTTATCAAACAAACGAGTGTAAAAACAGTATAAATGATAAGGCAGCGAAGAAATGAAAACGGTGTTACTGTTTACCAGGAACTCTCGCAACTATAAGTAGATAATATGTTTATAAATATTGTTTTATTTATAGAGTAAGCAGAACTATAAAATGAACACCGTTGTGTTATTACTAAACTGATAATCTAATTGACCGATATAGAGCTTACGATTTCGTTGGAGTGGACAGTAGTCTATAGTTGTGGCACACATATGCACCTCCTCCCTAGCTATGAAGGTACACCATTGAGGGTCGAATGTGGAGACTCGTAACATGGTTAGGCACTAACTCACTTCCAAAAGTAAAATAAGAACAATCACTGCAGCTACAATGATAATAATAACAATATCGTCTCGCGACCACTACGCCTCTTTGGTATTCCAATTAGGCCAAGTGTAGTAAATAATGACCAGTGCGCTGTTTTGACATTGTCATCCGATATGGTCACCCAGCCAAGGGTGACGAGGGTTGGCGGAGGGGTTAACGTTAATTTATTGTCGTCATAATGAGTCAGACATCAAAATTAGCTAAACATTTTGCTCCCCCCCTCACCTTCCACCGAGTCTGTGCGCCTGCTAAATGTAAGTTGTAACACATGAGGCGCCAAACGATTTGTCACAGTGAATTTCACGCAAATTTCACACACGACCTTCACCTAAAAAAAAGCATACGCCAAATGAGGTGTTGGACCAATTTTTCAAAAAAAAAAAATAAATAAACACCGTCACTTGACGTCTAAACGTTATACTGGGTTGCTGCATGGGATCCCTTAAGAACTTTTTTTCTCAGGTATACAACTCGAGTGCATCTCACTCGATATCCCACTTATTGTGTCTGGTCGTCGCGTGCAAATAAGCCATGTATATAACATACATAATAAGACCGTGAATATAATATATTTTATTATTATGTTTACTCGATTTACGTTTTTTTGGTAAATATTTTATATCAAAAAAAAAAAAAGAAAAAGAAAAACATAAAAATAACGATTCGGTATTTAATGTTCCGTTGGCCCTCCGCCAGGTTCTTAATATACAAAATTAAACCAGTACGCGAAATTCGATTTCTTACCGTTTATATTGTTTGCTGTCGTCTTAGCCAAATAATCAAAGTAAATAAAATGTCGAAACCATTTGCGCAAATGCATTATCAGTGCGGTATCCGTCTGCATTCTAATAAAATATTTTAAATGTCTTCCGAAATTTACTTCATCTTTTTTTCGTTCGTAACACGTATTTTGATTTTCAAAACCAACGTTTGTATAATGTTGGGCTATTATTAAACTTGTTTACAAATAAACAGTTACTACTGAGCATAAGACAGATTGCACAATCATAATTAATGTCTAAAAAATAAACTTGGTGGATAATATTATCGAAAGGAACAGAGTGAAAAAAAATAATATCATAGCGGATTTATAAATACATATTTTATATTTATCTGTTAAATACTTAAATGTTTCAGTATAGTTTAGTAATATTATGTCCACAACGAGAAGTGGATAGAATGATCGAGAAAAAACTTTGAGCAGACTACAGTTAAAAAGTTTTAAAATATGGATTCATAAGAATAAGGATTATTAATTCAAAGAAAATCATTTTAATTTAAAAAGATACCCAATTCATGTGGTTTTTACTCTAGATTCTTGTGTTTTAAGTGGCGTTTGTTAGTTGCATTTTCATAACTTCACGGAAGCCATGTGTAGGAAATGCACACAATATACACACACATTTTACTATATAAATATTGTATATAATAATATATATTTAACCTGTTTATAGGAATAATTTATTTCATCAAGTTTTCGAAAATTAAATCTAGAAACAAACATAATTATATAACTCTGAGGGTTCGCAAATTTTTAGGCCTCCCTCCTCACATGTTGTAGTCGTGGTATTTTTTTTATTATTGTTTAATTATGTTTAACGTACCGTATAATTAAAATTAGTGGTCTGCTAAGCCAAAAGTGTATCTAACTTACTTATTGTATAAATAATATTACAAATGTAAATATTTCTTATCATTTAAACAAAATAAAAAAAATTTTAAAATAATATTTATTTTAATATAAAACCTACCTAATTTGAATTTGAATAGTTATTGTGAGGAGTATTGGAGTATTATGCCATCTGGCATGCATCGAATTCGTTGAACAAATAAACTTAATAATGACGTAACGTGCAAATGAATTTGGAGCTGTTGTCATGTTACGGAATCTAGTGGAAGTTTTTGGGTGCTTTGTGAATTATTCGATATCAGTATAACCTGAATGTTTAAAGTCATCCAAGTATGTCCATTGTTTAGTTAAAACAACATTCACCGAAGACGAATATTTTCCCTAGAATGGACCGGGTTTGTTCAACTATATAGTATAGTAATACTTCGTATTGTTTCATCGTATCTAGTATGTTTAAAGTTTGTCAGAAAGAAGTTTAATAATATCAAAAGAAATTGGGTAACTACACATGCGAATAATTAGTATATCACCTAAACCGTTAGTCATATCCAAGTTCTATTATACCCAACAGATATTTTTAATACGCAGACAAAACACAGTAACAATTTAATGTGTATTAAATTTATTATAAAATGTAATGTTATTTTTCATTAAGAAAACAGAACATACTGATGCAATAGGTAGTTTACTTTGTAAAATTTTTTCTATAAATAAAATATGATTATGTCTTTGACATATTCATCGGTGCACACAACTTGATGATGGCTTTATTATAATATAAGTATGTCACGGCTTAGTAATTATTTGTAATACGATATTCATAAGTCTATCGATTATAATATATAGAGATAAAACGTTCCACGTTGCTTCTATAAGGTTAAATCTAACGATACGAGTTTTGTATTGCTTTTTATTATATCGAACTTTGAAGGCCATTTGTGAGCTTTTTGTGCAACCAATCGTAAAAATGGTAATTCAAAACTTAGTCAAGGAGAAAAGACTTTTGTATTATTAGAGATGTGCGTGAGAAAAATCTACTTAGATAATATTTTAAGGCATTTTCCAGATTGTGTTCATTAATTTCAACAAAATTAAAATTGTATTTTCTATTTGTAATAACATAAAAACTAAAAAACCACCTAAATATAATCATATAAACAAATTTTAAATTATTCTTAACTTTTATTTTAAAAGCACATAACTTCCAAAATATATTCCAAAATAAATTATCTAATTGAGTATTAATTGTTGTATACGCATATTATTTTTAATTAAATATAACACATTATGTAGAAGTGTGGTTGATTTCTAACAACCTAAAATTATTAAACTTTTCGTTGAAAATTATTTTGATGACTTAAAAATTAAACTGATGTAATATTTTTAAAGATATCAATAAGGTTGAAATAATTCCGAGTAAATATAAGCCATCATAATAAAACAATATGATTGGTTAAAATCTTGAGCAATTATAACACAATAATGATTGTTGCTTAGGTAGATAAAAACAGTGTTTAAAAAATGCTGATTTTTAAATTATTGTTTGAATAAATAACATTTTAATGAATTCATTCGTAGTTATTTATACTATTATACCTATGCAAAATATAATGCTGATATAAACAACTGTTATAAATACTTTATTCAATCATTTCGTTACACAATAGGATCATAATTTAAAGTAATGGCAGTAAAATAATGTAAGATAATGCTTATCCAATATCTTTGAAAATAATCCATTGTCGATTTGGTGTTGCTATGCATGATATTAATTAAAATTTCATTGTATTTTCGGAATTTCAGAAAGGTTGTATAAACTTCAATCAAAACCTGTTTTAGTATTCCGGGTGGTCCTATAAAATGAGAAACATGGTTATAATTTAATATTATTTATGACGGGAACACGAATTCATGGAACGGTATATACTGATATAATATAACAGTACAATACTACATGTTTATAATGTAATATATATATATATATATATATATAGGTAGTATAATGGTATATATCTATATATATATATATATAACAATCACAGTGACGACACATCTGAGAGATGCCGTCGTGGTACGATTCGATGGATATGGTATAGAGAGAAAAAAAAAGAGTAGTAGGTACACAATGAGAAAAAATATATTTTTTGTAATTTCCGTCTCTGCAGCGTTTGAAAGTGAGCAATTTCCGGAAAACTTAGTATAAAAATGAAAATGTAGGCGTATGTACACGATTGCATTATAATACGTCTCTGAAATTGAATTAAAACCCACCTGCAGCAGGCAACAACAACGAAATAAAACTGCAATAATATATTAACCGTACGTTTTCCCCTTAACGGTCAAATTATTGTGTGTCTCGCTCTCTTCATTGCCGCCGTGTATAGTGACGGCGTGATGTCTAGAACGTTCTTTCATCCTTCTTCTTTCTCAGTCATTCAAAATGCCGTGACTGTTGCCGCGTCTCGTCGTTTGCCTGGTGAAAGTCATTTTTATTTTTTTTTCACAAAAAGTGCCTATCAGAGGACATTGTAGTAGATGGTTCATTGTCTGTATTTCGTTGTATTCGCAGTTGCTATATATTTTTTTCTTCTCGAAAATGTTCTATTTTTTGAGTGTGGTTTCGCATCGTCTGACACCTGTCCTTGA